ACTACTACTACTACTACTACTACTACTACTACTACTACTACTACTACACTACTACTACTACTACCACTACTACTACTACTACTACTCCTACTGCTACTACTACTACTACTACTTGTTGCTACTACTACTACTACTATTACTACTACTAGGACTACGACGACGACTACTATAATACTATACTGCTACTACGACTACGACAACCAGTACGACGAATAGTATATTAAGACTACTAACTGCTTGAACGAGTAAACTACTCCTTGGATTTTACTTGTACCACCAGACTGCATATCGTGGCGCAAGACGTCGGCAATGTGGAAGACAGTGGCCAGTTGACAAGCGTTATCCCTCAGCGCCTCTTGGCTTCCCGCATGCCGCGGTACTGAGCTTCTCCGCCACGGCAAGGCGGACGCTGGGCAGAGAAGAAAAACTGTGCGTACGCAGGCGTCGCGCCCCACCCTGGCGATGAGCAGGTAACCTGGCGAGCGCAAACAGCGAGCGACAAAGCAGAACAGAGTGAGCAGAACACTTGGAAACAATGGCGGCCACGCCACGTTAGAAGAAAGACCTGGCAGCCACTCCAATGGAACGAAAGCACGAGCTACGAGATTGGTGCGCTGTCAGCGCTCATACAAGAAGATACCAGAATCGGCGAGAGGACAAAAGAAAAAGCATAGACTTCTTTTTGAGCGTCAGTATATCTTGTGTCAGACACCGCAGCGTCTTTTGCGCGGGGGCGCGTCCGATTTGGTGGGACGGCCCGTGCGTTTTCTGCTGCTAGGCAATGCGGTCAGAATCACAGGCGGCTGTGGGAAATTCGGAAGGCCGAGACTGCGAAGAAAAGTGGAAGGCTCACATTGTGCATGCATAGCAGCTGCCGGGCAAGAGCATAGAATAGAGGTGGGTCGAACCTTCAAGTACGCGACGCGCTCAAAATGAAATTTGAACGACTGAGCTCCGGGCACTCAAAGTAGCTGGGTGGATCAACACTTGCAAGACTTTCAAAGTAAGGGCACGGTTCAGTGGCGAAACTGCGGCTGCGCTGGCGAAAGCAACCCAGGAACAATCATTGCACTGCTGCAAGACATAGAGGTCGGTAGGGGCCAATTTGGCAAAGTTGGCGGCGCAAGTGCGCCCAGCCCGTGTGAGCGCAGTGCCGTTGACCAATTGTGGATCTTGAGTGGGCGGAACAGAGGCCAGCGGGGTGGAAGCTGTCCACGAATACCAATGCTGCCAGTGATCTGTGTACAGCTTTTGCAACACATGAAGCGCATGGCCAGTGTTTCCGCGGCCGCCAAGTTGGTTCAATTCCCGTTGCCAGGAAGAGTGGATGGCCTCGGCAGGCTCACTGCCACTACCAGATCCTGAATACCATCAAACCCAACCCAGAAGCTTAAAGATGATGTCGGGAGAATGGTGGCCTTGGAAGATGGCTGGCATAGGCCGCTCATATAATTCTGCAACCAATCGGCCAGGGTGGGTTCACCGAGACGCCGAAGGGTTGCGAGGAACGCTTTCCACAGCCAACTGAAAAGAGGTAAGGTCGGAACGAAGCGAAGGATGTTGATGACCTCCAAAGCAAAATGCACGTATTTCTTAACAAACTTCCCTTTTCGCGAGACCAGCTGCTGGCATTTTGCTTGCATAGTAGTGTGCGATTTTTCCTTGAAGTGAAAGAAATCGTCACACGGTCGGGAAAGCGGCCAGACATGGCGACGAGCTTCTTCGATGCTCGGGTGGAAATCTTTGTGCAACTGCAAGCTCATCTGCTGCTGTAATGGCTTCTTGTTGGGATGCCTCGCTGTCCAGAGGTCACAACAAGCGTCAAACAAGTTGACATAGTTCGCCTTTGTCTCAGCATGAAAAATTGCTTGCAGCAGCGGCATGCCATGTGAAGTCCAAGCACTGCTCTGCGTGCGGCAGCCTGCGCCCATTTTTGGCAAATGGGTTGGGCGTAGCTCATCTTTCACCAGCAAGCTCAAAGTCGCAACGCCCATGCCACGGTCCAGCGCCTGCATCTTGGTATCCACCGCCAACGCTATGTCGCTGCCAGTATAGCGACTCAGTGTGTCAAGCATGCCTGGGTAAGCAAAGATAATGCACACCTCAGCATCCGAGATGGGCGGCAAACGTCGTGAACCATGGATGCTTTGTTGGCTCCACTACCATCAGAAATCCATTGTGTTTGGACGCTAATCACAGGATAATTCTGGATCTTCTACCCACCCTCCCATCAGAAATCCATTGTGTTCTCATGCTAATCACAAGCTAATTCTGGATGCTTTGTTGGCTCCACTACCATGTGTTAAACGTTTTGGTAAAACACATCCATTTGCTACGACTACGAAGACTACGACGACTACTACTACTGCTACTATACTACTGCTACGACTACTACTACGACTACTACTACGACGACGACGACTACTACTACTACTAGTACTAGTACTAGTACTAGTACTACTACTACTTATACTACTACTACTACTACTACTACTACTACTACTACTACTACTACTACGACCACTACTACTACTACTACTATTACTACTACTACTACTACTACTACTACTACTACTACTACTACTAAACAAAAGAAAACAATACAAAACAAAACACAACAACACAACACAACACAACCAAACACAACAAAACACACCACACCACAACCCAACCCAACCCAACACAAAGTTAATTCTGGATCTTCTACCCACCCTCCCATCAGAAATCCATTGTGTTCTGATGCTAATCACAAGCTAATTCTGGATGCTTTGTTGGCTCCACTACCATTTGTTAAACATTTTGGTAAAACACTTCCATTTGTTAAACATTTCTGGAATGTTCAACGTTTCTCATTTGTGCGACAAACCACAAAGGTATGTGTACAAAAACAAAACAAAACAAAACACAAACAAACAAACAAACAAGCGCACAAGCGCGAGTTCGAGTTCGCTGCTGCTGCTTCTACTATTCTGACTGACCACTACTCACTCCAAGCCCAGGGGGGTTTTTGCGACAGTAATTTCAGAACTGTGGCAGAAAACCCTGCTTTCCAGCAGCACCGTCGCAGAAAACCCCCCTTGCAGGTAGCACCGTCGCAGAAAACCCCCTTAACTGTGCAACTGTTTTAAAAAACCCCTAAAACTGTCGCAAAAAACCCCCGTCCCGCCCCACTAACCATCGTTCGCTTGCGGCACCTGCTCAACCTCTTACACATGCTCTTGTTGAGATACTTCAGGAGGAAGAAAGTGTTTTCTTCGTACCGGGTCTTGTAGCATCTATGTGGATCAGCCGCGGTCGAATTGAGAAGTCCATTTCGTGTGGCCAGTGTGGGATTGTCAACTATCACCCTCTCTTAAATTTATAACAATTAAACTGCTTTGGAGGAAGGAAATTAAACCGTGTGAGGTGACACAAGCATCTTGCAGGATCTTGCAGGATTCTATGGGGAAAGGGTTCTCAATTTGGAACTTTCAAGAGGACAAACTTTTGTCCTAGTGGTGTATAGTAAAGTAATGTATTGCATAAAGAAGCTGTTTATTCATGGAGATCAGGGTTGCAAGTTCCAGCAAAACCCTAGGACCCTATGGATCGATTTGATGCTGGAAATCCAGATTCCGATGATTCTCTCCTGTAAATTCTTGAATAACACAATTCTGAAATATTCTGAAGATCTGGATCCCAAACAATATACACATTCCCTGCACTTGCAGGAAATCAACATCAGAACTCTCAGGATGATTGGTCTTCCAGCGGAATTTTGACACTCAAGACTCAAGACATCTCAAGACCTACTTCTCCACTAAGCCTGCTGGGTCAACTTCTCCATCAACTGCTCGATCATCGTTTTGACCTGCATGAGCAAGTGCCCCCCCAAACAGTCTTGAGCGACCATTTGCATCGTGTGTCCCTGGCATAAGGTCCTAAGACGGTGAAGCCGTGAGGCCGTGAGGATACACCAATCACGTCACAACATGCCTTCAACCGCTCTTCCCACCCAACCGCACTTGGCCTACCTACTTCACCCGAAGCGGCCCATGACTGCCTGGCCTTAGACAACGGGTCGGCGGAGACGCGCACCGCCAATGCCGAGAGCATGCGGCTCTTGAGCTGGTCGGCCTTCCGTTGCAAGAAGCGGGCCACCTGGTCCTGAAGCACAGCAGGCACTTGAAGGTCAGGGGGGTCTCTCCTTGGAGTGTAACAAGGATGCTATGCTCGGTGGAGGCCATCGCAAAGAGGTGGGAGGCCATCGCTACTAGTAGCAAGAAGCTACTAGTAACAAGGAGATTGGAGATCAAATGCCACCAAGGTCAGGTGGGCCGCTCAGCTCCCCAGTTCAGCTCTGCTTTCGGTCCAAGAGATCCTCCCCCCCATGGAATGGAGCGATTTCTGAAGGAATTTTAGAAGCGTCCCATGGATGAAGCGTTAGACTATATATCTACATCTAATATCATCTAATCATATAGTATAATTACTATATGTAAATGTACCTGTAATTTGTCTTGGTGTGTGGACATCTACCCTCACTCCAAAAAGAAACAAGCCTGGCCTCATTGAATGCTCCCTAGTGTGGCTTGTTCAAGATCTATTCCACTTCCATCTTTTTGAGATCAAGGGCACCATATACCTAGCACCAACCAACCAAAATATGGCCCCTTCCGACTTAAACAGGGTATTGTACCATCCATAGCTCCCAAAAAGCTACCGTCCATGCACAAACGCGCCGCCACGAAGTATTGCGCTCGTTTGGATCGCAGCGGCACGGAGCGACAACCAAAGAACTCCATCCAGCCTCTTGAAATTTCTTCAGCCTCTGATGTTGCATCACCCCAAATCACCCAAACCCCACGTGGTGCGAACACGTGGGGTTCCCACGTGTTCGCACCCACTTTGGGCGTGGGCGGGAACGCGTCGGGAGGACCCGGCGCGGAACGCGGCACAGCGCACACCGTGCTCCTGGCCCCGATGGGCTGCGTGCTCCGCCCGCAAGAAGGCCAAGGCCGTCAACTTGGAGCGCTGCCTGCGAAACGATCGTTCTGGACTGAGCAAAGACGATCGTGGACTGGCAAGGGCGGAAGAGGGTGGAAGAGGGTGGAGGGGCAAAGCAAGCACCGAAGCAGTTGGCGGAAGGGCAGATGATGTTATCTTTTTTGATACCAAAGACGTGGAACGCGAAGCTAGAAAGCCTGGCTTCCATATCCTTAAGCTTTACTTCCACGTTGGATACCAAAGCCTGCCTAAAAGCGTCCTTAATCTTCCTTGCACATGTATATGTCCAGTCATTGCTATATAGTGGCGATCCACTAGCGTTGTGGATGCCCTTGACAATGTGTGCGGAGGAATGCCGCTTGCTCATCTGCTTGCAACTCAGCTGCAAAAGTCCCGGTAAGTGCTTGTCAGCCTGGTGGAGAAGGAGCACAATGAAAAGTGACAAAGTCTGGTGACAGTCCATCTGATTCTTGACCCCCCCACCGTCAGTTTGACTCAGTTTGACCTGAGAAAGACACTTGAAAACTATAAGTATCAGAGAAAGCATGGTTCAAGCCTGACTGACCATAATGTTGGGCCCTGCTCTTGCAAATGTTCCCAGTCCTGTCCTCCTGTCCCTGTCCGTGGCTCGAGCGAAACGCATCCCAGGCACGTTCCCCGCCACAGTGCCGCTGGAGATGATCTCTTGGGCCTTGGCGATGGCTTCCAGCTCCTGATGCGAAGAATCAGTTGAAGCCATGGTGTCCCTCAATTGGCTGGCTGGATGGATGGTTGGATGTGATCCCTGCAAAAAGATGTGAAAGAAAAGCAAAAACTGCCAGCATCCTGGACTCAAAAATCCCAACGATGGCAACCCAAACGATGGCTCCTCCTTCCGGGTCTCTTGACGTTGCTGATAGGCGGCCTCTTTCTTCTCGCAGGTGGCTTTCCTTGGCGCGCACGGGGTCGTGGCAAACCCCAAAGGCCACAGAAAGTGTCGAACTGGAGATCGGTTCACAGAGAGGTTTGGTCATGGGTCCTATCTGGGTTAAGGAAACATACCCAGCAGCAATGAGGCATCTAGAAAATCAAGCACTCTTGGGAACAAAACTAATGGAATACAGTGTAATGGGAAAACACACAACTTAGCAAGCCCTTGTGAATTGGAGAGTCTTTGACTTGGAAAGCCCTCGATGTAATTGTGCTCAACACTTTTCTCCAAACTGTGCTGGTATGAAGTCCCACACTACTTTGATCATGTTGATATCCACTTCGACCTCCTTCGGCTTTCCCGAACCCAACCCGTATTCCTCCCCGCTCCGCGGACGGCTCCATCCGTCCGCCCCCGTCCGGGGCGCAGATCTGTGGCGTACTTCACGTCCGAGGCCTTGGCCGCGCGGGTCTCCTCCAAGTCCGCCGAGTCGGAGGCCTCGGCGCAGATAGCGACGCGAAGTACGCGAGATGCGAGAGGGGTGGGGGTGGTGTGTGTCTCTGGAGGCGAGGGGTGTTCTTTGTGAGTGTGTGATTCATGGAGTGGAGTCTGGAGTGTGAGGTGGACTTTGTTTCTTTTGGGGAGGATGGAGGCCTAGAGAGAAGATCTGGAGATGGGTGGAGATGGGTGGAGTCTTGGCGACTCTTTTGGGGGGGAGAGAAGACGGGAAGACGAAGATCGTTTGAGGATACAACGACCAAAACGACATCCCCATGGATTCCAAGCTGACTAGGAACAGTTCTCTCCCTGCCTTGGACTGGAGCTTCTTGGTTTTGAATTGAGTCTTCTCTTGCTGCTCCTGCGGCTGTCGCTTACAAAGGGCGGCGACTTGGACATGCCCAAGGCAACTGCACCATTGATTTTAACGAGGATTTCCGGTATGATAAAGTAATATAATATATATAACTTAACAGTGTAACACAATAAATAGAACTCCAGAAAAGAACTTTAATTGATCTCAACCCAATTCCTGGGATGTTGGATTTCCCAGTTCCATCAGATTCCATCAGCGAATACTATAGAAAGACGTGTTCAGAAGCTTCAGAAGCGAGAACAGCTGGACCACTTCCCCAACCCATGGGCCACTTCCGTGGGCACCCATCTCCTTCTTGGACTGTGTTGCTTGTGTTTCCAACCGTTGCACCAGCAGTGCATAGGCGTGCTTCTTCGCCTGGACTTCGCGACGCCGCGTGTGAAAGACGGGGGTACGAGGTCTGTTGGAGACGTTTGGGGCAGGTCTGTTTGATGGAGAGAAGCCTGATATGAGTTATGTTATACCAGTTCCTTTTCAACGTTTTCAAACACTCTCAGGTTGAAGAATGGGATCGAGGATGATCGAGGTGTTTTGTCAGTGAAGAGACAAACCTTTGTGGGCTTGGACCAACCACTGCTTTCGCATCCGCTCCACTCTGCAACTTCAGTTGCTCCACTCTGCGAGTAGAACAGCCGCTCCAGAAATCAAAACACTGCATCATTGTCCTTGGTCCTTCGTTGGTTCGCAGCTTTTTGGAGTGTTGACCACCGAGCCACAGCTGTGAACCTCCCATGACCCTCTCAGGTCCCAAAGAACCTCCGAGCGGAGCCTGCTCCTCGACCGAGCGCGAAGTCAGCGTGTCTCGCCCTCGTGGGAGCCTGCTCCTCGGACTCCAGAGCGGTGCGCTCATCTACAAACTTGTCCTTTCGGCGGCAAGCTTGGCCCAAGCCGCAACCTTTCGCTCAACCCATTCTGACGTAGGACGCGTGGTTGGTCTCCGAAAAAAGCCTCCAATCATGTTATTTCGGGGCCCACCACGTGGAGGCATCAAACGTTTCAGAATGCATAAATGGATGGTCTGCCCATGTCTACCCCTTTGAGACTTAAACATATACTTGAACAATCTGACACATCCAGAGACTGATTGACTAATTTCATGTTCTTGCATCCAATCGAGGCGTACACGCACAAGTACCCATCCTCGAATTCCTTCAATTAAGTACCAGGCTCCAAAGCCAACAAAACCATGTTTCAAAGGGTGCCTGTCGCGTGTTGGATGGAAAATGCAAGATCACCGAAGGTCTGTTGAACTTGGTGCTGGAATTGGCTTTGGACAATATGTTGGGTTTTCTTTCAGCCGATCCACCAAAACCCGCCATCATCAGGGCATCAGGGCCTCAGGGCCTCCATCTGTTAGATCGGACGATCACCAAACTCGTACCGACCAGGTCCCCTCAAGACCAGCTCCTCGTACCGAGACCTGCGAAGACTGCCACCCCCTCCATTCCCACCCGTCACGTCGCTCCGAAAACTCGGAGCCGCTCCCTCGGCGTCGAAGGAAGGAGACGAGCGCGCGAGCTCAGCTCCTGAAGGCTCTCCAGCATGCTGATGACACCGTCGGACTGAAACCTCGCGGTTTTGGTTCGCCGGTTGAGTGGAAGGGGAGTGGAAGGGGGAAGGGGAGGGGGGCAAGGCCTGCCCTTTCTCGGGGGGCTGAGAAGCCTTGGGGGTGACCCCGCTATATATAGATCGATCTAGTTCTTCATGGACAAAGTTCACTCGTCAGCTTGGTCTTCCCAGTCTGCAAACCTTCCATATGCAGGTCTTCCCAGTCTTAACTTCGTCGTAAACGCGGATGACAAGTCAGTGCATGGGAAGCATCCATTACTGCTGGAGGAAAGAAACGAAAGAACGGATTCAACATGAAGAGTATAGATCGAATGCATGAGAAACCTGCCATGGGATACCATGATCGCTGCCATCGTCGTCTCTGACTCACCGTTCCTCGTCTACATGGGAACAAGAAGCTATTAGAAACAATAAGCTACTAGTAGCAAGTGCATCGCTTCTAGTAACAAGTGCCTTACTACTAGGAACAAGAAGCTATTAGAAACAATAAGCTGCAGTAAAGAATCTTTGAGGACCACCACATGTGCGATGCCTTTTTTTCTGCCGAGAGACTCATAGGTCTTGGGCTTCGGAGCCTGCTCAGCTCCCTGCATGATCAAGCTCTCCTGCCAAACCATGAACCCAGCAACCGGCCGGTAGAACTATGGATGGAAATCCCTCCTGATCCTTTTGAAGGATCGATCCTCTTGAGCAAAACTTACATGGCAAAATGAAACATGTCCACTCGGACGAGGAGCAGCATACTGTATCAGGACCGGACTCATCAGGACTATAAATATGTCAGGTGACTGTCCTCTCAAAAGACATTCTTTCAGGTTTCAACCCGTTTTTATATGGTTTTATCATGTTTTATCATTGTCTAAATCTGCGCTGAGAGAAGCAAGAATCGAGGAATTGAAAAGCCAGGCGCAAAGACTGTTTGTCATGTTGATGTGGTCATTCTAAAATGGGGAAGACTCACAATGTCAATGTTCGGGAAACATCAATCACATCAAATCACCAAGGGCAGAAAGCATGGGACCCCTCAATATGACAGCATCGCCAATTTGACGTCCCTCGGGCAACAGATTTTCTACCGGCCCCGCTGTCACAGCCTGAGTCTGAGTCAATACATGTCGAGTCAATACCTTACCAGCCAGCGTCGAAGACAAATCGATTGAACACGAACAAACAACCGACCCCCCCCGAATTTGGGTCCCCCATCCAGTTAGTAGATAACCAGTGGTTCCAAAGACTAAAGCAGTAAACCGAGCAAGACCCTGCTTCCTGATACTGTACAGTATATTGATTATACAATTTGCCTGGTCTCTGCCTCCCCATGTCTCCTCTTTCTCGTCTGAGCCGGTCGTTTGCGCCGTGCGCAAGTAGGCATCGATCTGATCCACCGCATCGCTGGGCATCCGCTTCAAGCTCTTGGCCGTGGTGAGCTCCAGCAAGGACACCTCCAGCCATTTCAGCCGGCTGAGCGGTCATGGAGAGCGTGCGAGCACGCGCGCGGGTGTGTGTGTGTGTGTGTGTGTCCGAAGGGGGTGTTTTATTTGTTTTCTTGGGAGTTGGGAGCAAAGAGAGGTGGTGTGAAAACGTGAGAAAGCAAGAATTTGAAACTGCCAGGTGGATATGACTGGGACTCCATGTGCTCTGGAAGGTGCTCGTCTTCTGGAAGGGTGGCGACTGAAAGGCCAAAGTAATAATGTACATGACGGCCCCAAGAACGGGGTAGCGTCTCGTCAGTTTTGAAGCAACAATCACCCTTGACATGACTTTCATTGACTGTGAAACAGCTGCACATCTATCATCTATCATTATCACAGCATATGTTCCTCGATGTCCCTGCCTTCTTGTCCTTATCCTCCTTCAGCGACTTCATCGCTCGCCCGATGGCATCAATGGACTCGGTGTAGTCCTGCTCAGCATGACTCTGGGGCGGATTGGCCAAAGTTCCGCTACCCCTGCTTTTTGGAGAGGACGCTGGGATGGGGCCCAAAACACAACACTGGAGACCAATGCATGTAGCCCAATGCAGCGACTGTTACATCAGTCCTAGTTGCAGGAGACCTGGAACTATGCCAGTTTGATAGGGAATCTTTGTAGGGTGCAACACTAGGTCGTGGGCATGTTGTGGGCAATGGTTGGGTCGTATCACTCAACCTGATGGTTGAGTATAGCCCTATACATACAAACACCAAACAAAAAAAATACCCGACTTGTGGGGCGGTATCTAAGAAATAGACACCCAAAACCTGCGCGCAAAACGAAGAAAAACGCCCGGCCCTCAAATGACCATCTCTCCACCAGGGAAGTCTGTGGGGGTTCGAAGAGATTGGCCTGAAACAAAGAGCCCATCGGTGCCTGAAGGGTTGTCTGGAAATCCGAGCGTTCCTGGAAAGAAGGAGCGGAGCGTTGGAGCTTGGTTCTTAGGGTAACGGGAATCAAATACTGTGGTTGTCAAAACATGTGAAAAGGAATATCCATAGCTCTGTCAAAGGAAGTCAAGATCGACAAGGTGTCTTGGATCTTCTTGGGGGGTTGGGGTCACCGTCAGCTCAAAGCCAACGTGAAAAATGTATGTTCATTGTTGTTGGGAACGACCTCGATGAAAACATTGGTTTCCATGTATACATGGCACAAGCGCCACAGTGTCGTGTCAAAACACGTTTTGATGGGGATTAATATAAACCATCCTTTAGGGATTGATTGTGCCATAAACCACCTTTTTAGGGATTGTGCCATCTATATACTCTCAACCCACTAATTATACATGATCTGAAATTGAGGACATGAGGGGCCGGAGTGTCGGTGACCCCACGGGATCACCACATCCGGATGTGGATGCTGATAAGTTTGGTTGTCTGATATACAACCATCCTGGAAGAGATAGAATATGAACTTATGAACCCACCAACCCACCAAATATGATGAGTTTCCTCTCATGCTTGTCTGCATGATCCCATATTTGATCTATTCCAGGATGACTTTGCATATCCATCGATCGATCTATCATGACCGGCCTTGCACACGTCCCCAGAGTCTCCCATCGCCAAACACTGCGATCCTGGGGAGTCTACAGCCCCGCCGCGTGGACCACGCAGTATACATCTCGTATCAAAATGCCTGATGACTTCTTAATGGTGCTTCAACTCGCTGGATTGGGCATCCTATACAAAACCAATACCAGTCCACGTCGATCCCAACCCCTGGAGACCTCAGACTCACCGCGCACCGAACCGGAAACGGAACTTGACGTACGCGAACTCCTCTCGCACCGTCCGCACTGTCTCCCGCACCGTCCCGCACCTTCTCGCGCACCTCCGTGGTGTTGGCCTGCTCCTTCCTCGGCAGCCATCCCAATCGAGGCCGTGAGAGGACACACGCTTAGGGTTCCCCGCATTGGTCGTGTCGCGCGGGCTTCATCCGCAAATAAGCGCGGACCGCGGGGCATCGGTCGTGTCGCCGTCGTTCTTTTTTCGAAGTAGTGTGTGGAAAGGATCAACGAGTGAAGTGGTGAGCCCACAAGAGACCATGTGACAAATGCATAATGGTTTCTTTTGGGGGGGCTATATAGAGGTCTTCAATTCTTGCTCATACTATCTCTCGTGAACATCTTTTTGTATCTGAGTGTTTGATTGCGTTTGTGTTCATTCACACCGGGGAGGACAGCTCGACCTGGCTGTCAAAATTGACCTTATAGTGACCTGGCTGTCATAGATTTCAAACGCAAACACTAAGACCTACAATGTACAAACCAAACGCCATAGAACTGAACAGTAATAGAGCATTAAACTGCTGTAGAAAAGGAATAGAATAGATTTATACACATATATATATATATATATTTATATATATATATATTGGATGCATTTGGAGCATTGAACGTAGAGCATTTGAGCAATCCACGAGCAATCCATAACTTATAGAATCTGCAGATGAATCTTCAATAATCTTATATATAGACATTTATGGACCCTTGCAAACTGGTATGGATCATATATGGGTGTGTACCAGTAACTAATGGGTAGACTGGTCCATGTTCCTTTTTTCAGGGGGTCTTTGAGGGGGTCTCCCTATTTTAGTACACACCCTAGGCCTCGTCGTACCTTCTTAGAAGGTGTGACTGGGGAGGGTGCCAGGAGGGTCCAAAATGATCCAAATACCTTTTGAGGAGGTACAACTGGAGCCCTGTAGGGACATATGATTACGTAGATCTCAAAAACCCCAAATAGATCACAGATCACCCCATCAAAAAGGTATTGATGTATTGGAACATACTTGTATTGATGTATTTGGCGCCACCATGCCACTCTCTGTTTAAGGAGACTCCACTTCTCCTGAGTCTCCCAAGGCCTCCGTCGCCCAAGGCTCGTGGCCGTCTCCGCGTCCGCCTGGTGCTGCGCGGCCTCCGCCTCCAGGCGTTCGGCATCGGCCCCAGCGGCCGCGATCTGCGCCTCGGATGGAGGGGGGGAGTGGAACTCGGAAGGTGCAGGATGAGAAGAGTTTGATGGTGTCTAGACTCTCATGCGTGCGCGAGATCTCTTGCGGCTGAACGCCGCCCCTTGCCCCCATTGATCCACTTGAATCAATTGAAGGACCAACCAGCTGTCAAGGGCTCGAACCCTTTCGTCTGTTCAGTCTGAAGTTATGTTCGTCTGTTCAGTACCGAGTCGATGCGCCGCATCGGCGGAGGGGAGGGAGGCAGCTGCCGGGGAGGGGAGTCGATGCGCCTGGAGAGTCTCAATCTTGTCGGTGGCATCACTGATGGATCGCTCCTGGACGATGGATATCCATCGCGAAAACCGCGGAGCGACACATGTGCGGGGTCTTGGCTGCTTGATGTTGCCTTGTGTTTGTTCTTTTTTTGATGTTTGCAAAGTGACGTCATATATTGTCTATGTATACTGGATGATGAGTCTAAACAGTCTAAATGAAAAGGAAACAAATGACAACATGAATCGCAATTCAACAATCCAAACAAAACAAATTGTACATGCCAACGTCACACCATTTTCAAGGACGCAACAAGGAGGGAGGATTGCTTCCTTTTCTGCCAACCCAATCTCGCGTGGCCTTCACCCTACCGCCAAGGACTGAAGTTCCAGATCGGCACTGTCACTGGCATTCCTTAAGAATCCTTGCTTGATCTCTCCATGGCAAACGGTCGGACCCGGCCCGAACCCAAACCCGGATGGTGTTGCGGAACGGGGCCCGGATGCGGAACGGATCTGTCGGTCGTCCGTCCGTGTTCGGTGTTCCGTCGGCCTCCGTTCCGGGCCTTCTCGTCGAGGGTGAGCTCGCAGAATTGCCGGAACTCGGCAAACTGCAACTGCTCATCCTCCATTTGCTTGGTGCCTGGCATCGGACGTCACACTTCTGTGGCGAGCAGTCGGTCAGTTGACGCGTGAGAACACAGAACATGGACTGAGCTGGCCTTGCCTGGGGCAAACATGTGAGACACGTGACTGCAGGATACTGCAGGGTGTCTAGGGACCTCATCTTCTATACGTCTCAAACCAACACTTGTCAAGTCAAAAATTATTGAAAAGGAGTGGCGCGTTTCGATAAAACAATCCTTGAGCATGTGTTTTCTAAACTCTCACACGTTGATGTGTATGTTCCAATATATTACTTTCATTGGATGTGTATCACCCTACAAATCCATCATGTTTGTGGGTATACCGCCTTGCTAAACCCGAGAAGCATCGTACACAGGGGTGCAGCAAACTCTCAGCAAGCGGAACCCACGGCGGTTCGAACCAATGCAAACATTCAACGGTGAATCGGCCGATGGCTTGACTTGCAGGGGCAATCAACAAAGGATCGGATGGGTACGGATTTCAGTCGAACACGCAAGGTTGAGCATCAATGAAACAACATGGTAACGTGTGTGCGTGTGTGAGTATGGAACAACCCCAAGCAACGCACACCAATGGGTCATCTGGTCATCCAGGCTGGTCGTCCATCTAGTCGTCATGTAGTCATCATGTTTCCTTGCAGTAAGGGTCCCGAGTCCTAGGGGCTCCCTAGAATTCCAATCTGTTCTCCGGTGCCGCACCTTTCTCCTTCATCTTCTCCATCATGTCGATGACCTTCTGCACAGGAGTCACATATGACCTGTGGCGCAGGTTACGACCTGAGGGGTGGAGCCATCCCCAAAATGGTTGGATTCCTATACCCCGAAGCAGGTCATTCATCCAACTTAAGGCAGTGAAAGTCGGACCTTGCGCATTGTGGGGTGCCTCTTGAGTGATGTAAATCATTCAAAGTTTATAAAGGAAACTATAAGTCTACAGTCAATCAGGGTAACTGGATAACTCTTTCCAAACAAGTCATCACGAGATGTGACAACCCACCCCACCATGGTCACATATATGTCACCATGGTTTGTGGATGTGTATGGCTGTTCTGAGGATCTTCAGGATCTGTAAGGACCTGCTGGTAGGTATCTCAAAGTCAACATACTCAAACACCTCCTGGGGCTGCCCGCCCAAGCACGGGGGCCACCAGCAGGAGCCATCGGAACTGCATTGCGGGGGCTGTCGCGGGCAGTTTGGCCCGGAGCGGCAGTGGCTGCGGAGGCAATGGGAGGTGCGAGGCAGAGACGGTCTCGTGCGAGGCTTGTGCAGGTTTAGGGTTGGGGCGAGGTTCCAGTGGGCGAGTTGCTTGGTGTTGGGGCGCAGTGTTTCACTGCCATCATATATCATCCATAGATCCGCAACCCCCCCAGCTCTTTTCAAGTCGTTTTCGACCCGGACGTGACCTACGACCGCCCGAAGCCGGGCGAAGCCGGGCACCGTGTGCCGGGCCGACGCGGCGGCCGACGCAGCCGTCGATTTTTTCTCCGTCGCAGAGCGCTTGGGATCGGTCGCGTCCGGCGAGTAAACCTCGGGTCGGTGCGGAGTCGAGGCGCAGCGGTGAGGCCCGGGGTGCGAAAGACGTGAGTGACCTGGATCAGATCAAGCGACTTCGGGTCGTTTGATTATCTATAATATAAGAAAAAAGAACAAAGAATCAAAGATCAATGCACAAGCCATCCTATCGCAGGTGAAAATTCATAGTCAATCCCGAATCCGGTGTCGAAGCCCGCAAGAAGCACAAACATGCACAAACACTATAGGACTATAGTCTACAACCCTTGTAACTTTCAAAATCCCCTTATCGACCTAATCCTAGACCCTTTAAGCTCTTTAAGTAGCTCAAAAATCTTCAGATCGTTTAGTGTTCCCTGGGCACCGAGGCGGGGCAAATGGCTGAGATCAGGAATCTTCCAAGCCATTGCCGCTTCGAATTCCTGGCACAAAGCCCGGAGCTGAAGATGGCGATGGCACCAGGCCGTTGGCGATGGCGGAGTGTCTGGTGAAGTGAAGACTTGTCCGACATGGATCCTCCAAAAAACAGCATGGTGGATAACACACATGGAGACACTGATCATCACAGATCTCCTTGTTGCGCATCTTTAAAGTGGAGCATATCTTCCGCCCCTCTGGGGCCGCTGGGTGGGTAGTGAAGGACAAATCCAAGTGGGGGCAGTAGATGCGAGTATCTACTGTAAAGAGTAATAGGGATTCTCTTGATATACCCTATGGATCCACATACCTTCTCAGAAGGTATGACCTCCAAGACATAAATAGTCTCCAATCACCGTACCTCAGAAGGTATGTGGATCCACAAGGCTACGAACACGATTGACTTTTCTTGCACAGTTTCACTGGTCTCCCCACCTGTCATTCCCACGACCCCCAACGGGTTTGGCGGGACCAGGGCCCCGTGCCGGAAGTTCTAGCCGGACCTCTGCTGTCGACCACGACACACTGAGGTGTGCATACAAACAAGGCTTTGGTGTACGTACTGAAAACAACTGTGGATTGGACGGCCATGCTCATGTTGAGACATGTTCTTCTTAAAATGGTTTGTAATCAAAACACAACAATTTTCGGAAAAAAAGAAGCACGATGTGTTCATGTACAAAGCAACAAAGTCTAAGTAACTATACAGTAACCCCATGTTGACCGCGGGTTATGCCTCATTGTGCTGCGCCCCACTCGTCTCACTGTGGATGATGGATTCAGCAATCCGTTGGTTGTGGCTGGTTGTGGGTGCGTGGCACCAAGTGAAACGCATCTTCCTGGGTAGCTTAGGCTTACCGGGGAATTTGCCGCGGGTCAAAAGCAAAGCATCTGTGGCAGCAGAGGCACTTCAAGATTCTTAGACATGTCAATTGGTTCAACGTCCAAGGCTTTCCACTTCCAAACGCATCCAACTCGCTGCACATCAACTGGACCTTGCTGACTACAGTTCTCATCCACATCGAAAACTATCCATCCAAAAATACCTGGACCTCCCTGAGAATCCATATGTGGTGCTTAGTCCATTTTGTGGATGGACCCATCTTCTGAACAACCTTCAACCCATCCCATGAGACCCCCATATATGAGACCCCCGGCAACTTCCGGCGACGGCTCTGCCGTCTTCAGCAGCGCGGCCGCCCAGCCGCTTCGGAGGGCACCGAGGAGGTCGCGCTGGCCGTGGGTTTCGGTCGCGTGCGAAGCGAAGACCCTCCGTGCGACGGCGCTGCTTGGCCGATCAGTTGGGGTGGGGGACTGCGGGGGGGGGGCGTGATGGTTCGGCTCAAGTCGACACTATCTATGATTGGGGGGACCCTATCTCGTTTAGACTACTTAAGTAGGAGGTCATGTCACAGTATCGCGTTCAGACTACTTACTATCTCGTTCAGACTACTTTAGTGTCATCAAGCCACAGTATCTCGTTTATGTGGGGGCCCTATCTCGTTCACAAGCGATTACCTGGTGGTAGACAAGCCAATAGAGCAAAGCATGCCGTAGACTAGTAAAGCCAAGCCTATATAAATAAAAGTGGTTGCTCAAAAGCCATGGCAGTCCCAGAAAGCCCTATGGGGCGTCGATTCGTTCATACATTTCAATCGTTGAGACGAGTGAGAGCGATCGATGGGCAAAGTTCTTAAGTTTGGTGCCGTCTTTGGGGAGTTCTCCCGTCTTGCCATGTCAACTGGTGAGAATCTGACGTCTTCCAAATTAATAGTCATGCATGTCCAACCATACCTTGGTATCTGTCAAATGGAGGGCGGTGACATCCTCTCTAAGAGATTAAAAGAGTAACGGCCAAACCTGCAACATCCACCAAGTTACGTTCGCCTTGGTATCTGTGGTCGCCCATCTCAAGACACAAACGTGGTCACTACCACCGAAAGAAACCAGCCCCGTGTTTCAAACAAAAGGGTTTCAATCAGAAAGGGGCTGGTTTCTTTCAGTGAAGACACAAGAAGTGGTCACACAAGAAGTGGTGTTTTCTTAGAGGCGTGTTTTCACCAAAAAAGAACAATCTTTCCACCCCGTTCGCCTGCAGGGGTGAGGCGAACGGGGTCCAAGTTTACGCCACCCGGCGAGTGACCCCGTTTCACACCTTTTCGGAATCTCCGCAATGGAGACAAAGACTTTGGCCGTCGACTCCCGCCAGCACTTTGGCCTGGCGTCGTGCTTTGGGCACGGATATCGACGATGTGTCATGTGTCCAGAGATGTCCAGAGCATTAAACTGGCAAACAGAACATATATACAGGACCATCGACTGGGAATCTTACTGTGATTTGTGTTTCGAATATGCTCTCCAAGGGATTCCTACTCACAATGACCTTGATTTATGTTTTTTTTGTTTGTTCTCTCGCTGTTCTCCATGAAGACACGGTGTCACGATGCCTGCGAAAAGCGGGGCCAGTTTCCATGATTTGATTGACCATTGGATTAGGTATAACTGGCACGAATAATGAATATGATTGACATTGGTATACATGTATATGATTAGGTAAACTCATCAAGCGGCCACCCCGATCCGTGGGTCCGAACCCTGCGGATCAAAGGTAGATCCGTCCATCGGGAAACCGAAGAGAATCAACCGAGCTCTCTTGGAAAAGACATCACAAGAAGGCAATTCCCCGCCAATTCAACAGAAACCAACCGAACATGATAGAAATCAAAACATGGTAAACATCCGAGGAACATCATCTTCCTGGCTACCGTTTCTCTGTGTCCACCTTCGTTCGCCAACGTTCTACTTCCGGTTTTCCCACCTGGTCGAAGATTTCTTTGGACGGTTTTTCCTGAGCTTTCAAGTTTTCTTGAATGGCATTGAACGACGTCCTAGTCTCACTAGGTAGCCTGTAAACATTCTGAGACATGAAATAGGTCTTTTCCAACAAAAAAAATCGTAGCGAGGGAAACATGATCGGATTCGCAGTTGGGTCACAGGTTTGCCAGTAGAGAAACCTATATAGACCAGTCACGGCTGGAAACCCAGCATGGCCGAACCAAACTGTGACAAACACCAACTCAGGATCATCCACGAATGAACAAACCAAGAACTAGGCTAGCTATGACATGCTATGACTATAGATGTGGAACATAGACGTGCAAAACGGCGCTTGTGTAAAGCAAAGCTGCTTTGGCTCACAACAATGTGTACGACGTTGTTGCGCCCGTTGTGGATGAAGTTCAACATTGCGCACGTTTGGGGGAATGCGTGTTCGTTTTAGGAGCTCAACATTTGTCGAACTGCCGATCGATATATTATGTTCCCAGAAAACCTTTAAGGTGACAACATGCGGCATTCCAGCAAAGAACATGGCAATCTTTTTCCAACAGCTGCCTCCAGAGGTCCAGAAGTACTGTGGTGACGCAATGTCTATAGTTAGTTGTCGAGCTTTTTTTTCCAGCTTCCACTCACAAACGTTTCTGCGTTGTCCAAATTCAAATATAGGATGACACCAAAATACCAGGTCAAGCCTTTCGCTCCAAGCGTTTCATTCTTCCACGAACGCATCGGAAGTGTCCCGGGAATGCATGCGCGACTAACATCATCTCTTGGAAGCAGCGGCGTTACGGCTAGCGTCGTTACGGTGCAGCTCCAGCGTCTGAGCCTTTCCATCTCCAAGTGCGTATGCGTAGAACAACAAGTTGGGGTCGTGAAGGACGCACGTTTAACGATCTTTGACTGACTCCCTGGTCTCAGTTGCATGCGTGACGCCGTTTTACTCTGAAGACTTCATCTACAAACATGCAAACATGACAGATCGGGCACATTTTGAGCTTGTGCATGATTGTGCCCATGTCTGATATTTGCTTCGGCTCTGTGATTTTCTTGTGCCCATTTGGCTTGCTTGTCCAGTCCACCTGCGTTGACCGACAGAAGTGGCCCAACGTCCATGTCCACACTGGTTATACCGCACTGCGTCGAGCCGTTTTGACTCGGCCCTGAATTGGGAGTCAAACTGAGTCAAAGAGCTCGAACGACTGATCAATGCTTCGGATGTGAACGAGCCGGTACGCCGCTCCACCGGCATTCCTATTAATAGAATAAAAAGAAAAAAAAAACGGTGCTCGTGGCGTGCAAGCGATACGCTCGATACACGACGCGCGCGTGCTGCGTGAAAAGGCTGGGCTGCCTTTTCGGGTGATGATGGTTGTATACATATATCACATGCTCCACTCAGGACCAAGCGCCAAAGCAGTGATGTGCTCAAACAGAAACACACACAAACC